AGAAGAAAGCCGCAGCGGCGAACACACGAAGCGAATAAAAGAAATGAGAAGAATAAATAAAGGGGAGGACAATGGAATTCGAAGAGGCATTATATTAACGATATTGAAGTTATAGAAGGTGAAGTGACCTAAATAATTTGAGAATAAAGATATGGAGAAACGACGGAGTGAGGAAGAAGAAAGATACGGAGAAACTGCGGAGAGAGTGGCAAGCCGAAGAGTTTCCCGCTGCTCCAAGCGACCTAAACGATGGCGATCGAGCTTCCTTTGTCCGATCCCTTTCATCTTCTCGCTACGAGTAACGACTACTCCTTCGGCTTACAGATTAATTAATGCATCATTATTTCATTAATGTAGCAATTTTATGTGAATAAATTTATAATTATTAATTAATTATAATTATAATAATTAAATAAATGGTTAGGATTTGATTTGAATAAGGGTGGAATCTGTAAGCCAATTTTTATAATAAAATAAAATGAAAGGCTCGAATTTGCTAAGAGTGGAATCCCAAGCCACTTTTATATAGTAGTATAGATATAGATAGTATATAGATTTGAAACATAAAACTATTTAAATTTAGGCGGAATATGAAGCGGGTTTTTGAAAAGTAATTAATTTAGGTGGAATATGAAAGGGATTTGAAGAATAATAAAAATTATATTAATTGAGATAGTAAATTTAAGAAGTAATTAATTTATGAGGTAAATGCAACGGATAGTAATTATTATATATTTCGATATTTAATGTGAATTTTTTTGATTTATTAAATATTTTTAAGAGAATGGACGGCCAAGATAATTAAAAAATAAGTAGAATGGATGAACAAGATTCGCCGGAGGAAGGAAACTCAAGCCCCTTTTATAATAGTAGTATAGATATAGATTTAGGTCACATATTCTTAAAATTTTTATCCGAATTTAATAAAATTATCATAGTTTCTTTTTTATAATTTGTTTGCACTCCTATTTTTCCTTTAGATTAACTTCATACTTTTGATTGTTTAAATTATTTTTTATGAGAATGGATAATCTCGTCGGTAATTATTTGCTGCAATTAAATAAAATTTAAAAAATAATATTACCTCCATATTTGAAATAAAATGTGGGTTAAAATTAAAGTTAATACATCAATTTTAGAAAATTAAAGTTGGAACTGATAAATTAAACGTTAAATCCATTTTTTATTAAAAACTCAAAAATCATTATATACTATTGATACATCCTCAAAAAATATCTTGATCGGGCACGAATCTCGAGGCAAAATCAAGTTGAAAACTTTCAAAATTAAAATTGGGACCATTCGAACTCCAATTTCAGCAAACATACAGTCGCACTAAACGTCTCAAGAATACAAACCCAACGACACCAAATTTTACTCACTCTAAGTCTAAATGGGTCCAAATCAAGGGCCCGAAGCTCTATTGGAAGGCTCAAACTACAATTTGGATTACCAAACGGTTTCTAAGTGTGACATGATTATAGTTGAATTGAGCGGCTCGACGAGATGAATCCAATGAGCCTAAGATCAAAGAATTCTAATATCATTAAGACCTCTAAATGTCTAGCAAACGGTCCACGATCAAGGGATTCAACATCGATTGTCCATCCAAACAACTCTCCATTTACCATTAATCTTCCTCCTATTTACGGGTCATGCCACTCTAGGAAATCTATAAAAAGACCTCTCCTTCATCTTGAAAAGGAACCCTAAACCTAAGAATAAAATAGAGATAACGAAGATCGCTCTTTCCTCCTTACCTCATCGACCACCGCCTGGAGTCTCGTCGGACCACCACCTGACATTCTAAGCTCCGCCAGACCATCACCTGACGCCCTGAGCTCCTCTGGACCACCGCTTCACTCTTGGAGTTCTGTCGGATCACCGTTTGATGCATGGAGTTCCGCCGGACCGCCACTTGACGCCCTGAGCTCCGTCGGACCATCACCTAACGTCCTAAGCTCCGTCGGACCACCGCTTGATGCCCTGAGCTCCGCCGGACCACCATCTGACGTCCTAAGCTCCGCCAGACCACCACCTGACGTTTTAAGCTCCGCCAGACCACTACCTGAGGCCCTGAGTTTCGTCGGACCACCGCATGAGGCCCTGAGCTCCGCCGGACCACCACATGACGTTCTAAGCACCGCTGGACCACCACTTATTGCCCTGAGCTCCTTCAGACCACTGCTTGACGCCCGGAGTTCCGCTTGACCATCCCATGATGCCCTAAGCTCCGTCGGACCACCACTTGACGTCTTAAGCTCTGCCGGACCACCGCTTGATGCCCTAAGATCCATCGGACGACCACCTGACAACCTAAGCTCTGCTGGACTACCACCTAACACCCGGAGTTCTTTTGAGCCACCTACAGACACCAAGGTTCTATTAGCTAACACCCGAACTTCCAAGTGACGCTGAAATTCTTCCATATCACCAGGTGACTCTGAAGTTCCACCAAACCATTAAGTGACGTCGGACTTTCATGTACCCCTGACTTCAACCATACGGTGGATGGTGGATATATATTTGTTATTTGATCGCTCTTGGGGTTGAGTCAGCCTACTGTAATCTACTCAAATTCTACTTGAATCATTTTCAACTAGGTCAAACCTCATGGCTTTTCCCCTTTCTAGAGTTTTTCATGTAAAAATCTTGTATTCTCTTTGTGTTCCATGAAAAAAGTTAAGACGTAAGATCATAACTCTATCGTCACGTATATTGCAGCCCACAACAACTATATATATTATAAACTGATAATATTTAATAATTAAAAATTTTCAAATTTCTTAAAAAAGTACAATTATAATATTACAAATGTCACTAAATATATTATTTTCATATCATAACTAAAAAATCAAGAAATTATCATTTTATTTTGTTTTATAACAATGTGTCACTATAGCTTCCGAAATTTTCTACGGAGCGTCTTTGCACCGTAAAAGCAGCACGTACGTAGAATAGAAGAAAGGCTGGATCAAATAAATTAAAAAAACCCTTCTTAAAATTCAGTCGACGTGATTAAAACCGTTCTTGGCTGCTCTGCTAACTCGGCGTGCAACAGCTTCTTTATACCACTAGAAGTGGCAATTAATTAGAACCAATTATTCATGATAATTAACTACAAATAACGAGATTAATTTATATAGACAATAATAAAGAAGTTCAATATTAAAAAAAAACTACTAATTTGAGTGTTGTATTTAGAAAAATTAGCATCCCTTAATTTATTTAGCGATAGAATTTATAATTTTAACACTTAAAAATATGATTATACGCAAAATTATTTAGATATATACCCAAAATTGTATTTATAAACACCATCTTCTTCAGCGTCTCTAGTGTCCCCAAAATCTCCACCCAGAGACCAACCATGCCGACCAACACCACCCTTCGCTTCTTCCTCCTCCTCTTTTTCCTCTCTTCCGCCGCCGCTGCCCTTTCCCCCTCCCACATTCAACGCCGAAATCTCGTCCGCCGCCACCTACAATCTCTCTCTTCTTTCTTCCCCTCTCCCTCTCCCTCTCCCTCTCCCTCTCTCTCTCCCTCTCCTTCTCCCTCTTCCTCTCCCCTCCCCATATACTCCACCTCCTCCACCTCCCACATTTTCCACGCCACCGACTTCGGTGCTGACCCCACCGGCTCCACCGACTCCACCGCCGCCCTCTCCCATGCCCTCTCAGCCGCCTCCTCCTCCTCCCACTTTTCCCTTATGCCCTCCATCCCCAACTTCGGCGGTGCCGAGCTCCACCTCGATGGTGGCAATTACCTCATCTCCTCCCCTATCTTCCTCCCCTCCTCCGGTGCCGGCAACCTCAAAATCCACTCTGGCAGCCTCCTCGCCTCCAATATCTTCCCACCCGATCGCTACCTCATTGAACTCAACGGCTCCACCTCCTCCGCCTTCTCTTTCGAGTATATAACCCTCGCCGGCCTAATGCTCGACTCCAACTTCCGCGGCGGAGGCATCGCAGTCGTTGACTCCCTCCGCGTCATCATCGATGGCTGTTATATCGTCCACTTCACTACCGACGGCGTTTTAATTCGCAACGGTCATGAGAATCTCATCCGAAACTGTTACATTGGCCAGCATATTACCGCCGGTTCAGACCCGGGTGAACGGAAATTCACCGGTACGGCAGTACAACTAAACGGCAATGATAACGCCGTTACTGATGTCGTTATCTTTTCCGCTGCCGTTGGAATTCTCGTCGCCGGAGAAGCTAATATCATCACCGGCGTTCACTGTTATAACAAGGCGGCCGCGTTCGGCGGGACCGGGATTTATGTGAAGTTGCCCGGTCTGACCCAAACCCGGATCGTTAACTGTTATTTGGATTTCACAGGGATCGTGGTTGAAGACCCGGTTCAGCTTCTCATATCCGGCTCGTTTTTCTTGGGGGATGCCAACGTGGCCTTCAAGTCCGTCAACGGGGTCATAAAAGACGTCAACGTGGTTGACAATTTGTTTTCTGGGAGGAATCGTGGGGCCCACAACGTGTGGTTGGATGAATCAAGTGGGAAGTTTGAGACCGTCGATCAGGTGGTGGTGAACCGGAACGCTGTGATGGGGATGCTGCCGAGATCGACGGTGGCTAGAGGGACGGTGGAGGGGAATGGGACAATGTGGACCGTCGATTTCTCGGCGGTTTTGTTGTTCCCGAATAGGATTGATCAGGTGCAATATTCGCTGGTGACGACGAATGGGTTCCCGGGTCATACTTTGAGGAGTGTGGAGAGTAATCGGGTTGTTATCGTGTCGGATATTGTAGTCAATGCGACCGTACATGTGGAGGTGGGCCAAGCTGTAGGTCCATGAGTTATGAAAATGGGCCTATGATTTATTTCTCTTATTTCATCAAATAAAAAGAAAATAGGAATTTTCCATCAAATAAAAAAAATTAGGGTTTTTCCACTATCCTGGTTCAATTGTTCTGTGATCAATATGATGAGTACTAATTTTGCACAACAAATTGAATGTTTTAACCAAATATTGTAACAAAATAAAAACAAAGAAGTTTGCATAGAAATTTCTATAAAGCTTACTATGAGAGAGAGAAAATTGACCCATGTCAAAGAGTTGAAAAACTCTATAGATATTTTTGTCAAAAAACGAGCTCTTTGGAGGAATTATTCCGTGCAGAGATTGGGCGCAGAACAACGTTCGGAGACCAACCAGAACGCGCCATGTCAGCGGCATCAAGCGGTACCGAGCAGTATCGAGCCGCGGTATCGAGTACATGGATGACATGATGCATTCTAGTTAGCCTCCGAACGATGTTTGACGTCCGCATATAATAATTTTTCATATGATTGATCTATTCTTCAAAATGAAATCTCTTTGAAGAGTTCTTCTGATTCATTGTCAGTTGAATTCCTTTAATCGAGAGAGTCACTAATCTTAATGTGTTGGATTTCGGAAGCAAATAGCTCTTTTTTTATGAGATTTAATCAACTTGCATCGTAACCTCAATATAACAATATTGCACGACCCTAAATTTAACAAAAATAATACTTTTTCAAGTCTTGCAACATGTTGAATCCATTTTTAACTTATCTAACATCATGATTAATGAAAAACATTAAACAAAATATGATCCACACCACTTGAAAGTTCATAGATTCAAGATCAACAAAAAAATAAACAAAATCCTATAGATGAAGACAACAAATCTTCCAAATTTATTAATAGATAATAATTCATGATATACTGAGCATATACTTAATCAAAATAAACAACAAATCATCTAATTGATTTTGTTTAATTCTAATAAATACAGTAAATTGGATAATGAAGTGGACTACTTAGTAAATGCTATTAGGCAAAGCAAAAGCTTGCAACATTGGAGCCAAGTTGTTGGCATATCCTATAAGTTGGCATCTTCACAGCTTTTCAGCAAAGAATTGGCTAATTTTTCTTTGACAGATATTATATATTTTAGGAAAAGGCAGCTTATCATTATTTATGACAATATTCCAAATATAATAAAGTATTTTTAATTATATTTTTAATAAATATAATTATGAATGGCAATCGGGAATATGTCGGCAATTTCAGCAGGGATTCAACGTCGATGGCTGGTGAAGGGTTGATGATGGGGACTGCACACGAAGGGTTGACGACGGCAGATTCAACGGCAACCGGGGATTCAACGTGACGGTGTCTCAACGTCGAGCGAATGCAAATAGAAATTGGAGGAATCGCGCGCAGATGAAGCACAAGTCAAATGGCTCGGTTAGGGTATGAAGAGGGTAAATATATCGGTTTTTAGCATCGGTGAATACCGCTTCGAATAACTATTTATAACACCGATTTTCAAACCGCTGCTAATAAAAGCTGTGAAAGCCTCATGTTCTTAGTAGTGAGTATAATTTTATCGTAAATTTTAAAAAATTTTAAAAATTGTAATTAAAAAATATTATAATAATATGTAAACAAATTTATCAACAAAACCTTCTGGTTCAAATTTTATCTTCTCATTGGACCTGCACAGCACATGAGCCCAATAACTTCAGTCATTTTTCTTTTTCTTTTTTTTTTTAATAATATTTTAGAAGAAAAAGTATCTTTCTTGGTTCAAATTTTTTTTGTAAAAATGTCAGTCTGATGAGAACAAAACTCTGCGTACGTTCCAAAATCGTCATTTTACGCAGCTATGAATAACATAATAATAAAACTATTTTAAATTAAAATGGCCGGCCATAACGGACACCATTCTACAGCATCGAACGTTGACGGCTCAATTTTATATCAATTACAAACAGAAATTTTCTAAAGCTCATGCTGCCCCATCAAAACTTCATGAGATTAGTCATCTTAGTTCTCTCCATGAAGATATTATTACGCGTGAAGTTTGGATTTAAGCTGTGTCCGATTTTTATAAGTGTGCGTAGTAAAAATGTGATGTTGAACAGTAATTATGCTTTTATTACGCACACTCATGAAAACCGGACGGATCTCTGGTCCGGATACCGCATGTAATAATCTCTCCTCTCCGTGACTTCATTCTAAAAAATATCAAAGTTTCGTATAATATTTATCACAGCATTTTCCACATTGATTGATAAAAAATAGGAAAGGTGGTCAAATATTTTAATTTCTTTGCTCAAGTGTATTTAGGATAACATGGAGCTGTGAAACTACTTAAAAAGATAAAGTTAAATTCTTAAATATTGAGCATTTTTTATGTAATGATTGGAATTTCATTTGAAATTATCAAGTTAAGCGTGCTTTTATAGGAGCAGTTCTATGATGGATGACATTCTAGGAACTTACATTAAAGGGGGACAAAACAGTGATAAAAGTAGGCTAAAGCGAATAATATCTTGATGGTTAATAGTTTTAGTTGGTATAGAAGTCTTCAAGACCATTATGATCTGGCAAATGTTCATGAGAGCATATTAGGTTTATGATGAACTTGTGAAGGCAGCTATAGTCTTGCCAAGTTCATGGCAAATTCGTCAACATATTCTATGATTACTTCTAAGTAGTCACCTAAGCTTAGAGATTATTATTTGCGGATGCTGGATGAGTCAGAGGTCAATGTAGACGCGCAACATCATCTAATGTATTATGTGTTGGGTGATGTGACGCATCCAAATTGACCTCCGAAAACATCCGGCGTTCGTACATAATAATTTTTCATAATTTAGCGACTTCCTTTAGTTTAGTTGGTGACTTCCTTCGTTCGAGTTGTTGATTTCTTTTAGTTAAGTCAGTCGAGGATTTCCTTTTTTTTTTTTTTTAAGTCAAGTCGGCACAATTAATGACTTCAAGTAGTTAGTTGATGGTATCATTTATTGGATGGTTCATGCTAATCTAAACCGTACTCAAATATAATTGAGCTACATGTTTCACATTTTTTAAAACAAGTAACTATGAAGCATTGCTATGTATTTTTTTATGTGTAGCTCAATATGTGGCATTTCTTATAGCTCCAAATCCTAAATTAAACATTTAAATAAAGGGACAGGAGAGGAACATAGCAAATGCAATGTTTTTACTCAAATTCATTTAATCAAATACCGAGCTTCACACATATATCCTCAAAAACTAATCTTGACTGGGGCACAAATCACGAGGCAAAATTGAGTAGAAGCTTCCGAAATTAAATTCGGGATCATATGAACTCTAATTAATTTTAGTAAATTCATAGTAATGCCTCAAAAAATCGAACCCAACGACATCAAATTCGACTCAATCTGAGCCCAACTGGGTCCAAATCGAAGACTCAAAGCATATTTGAAAGGTTAAAATCATAATTTGGTTTCCAAACGGTTTCTAAACGTGACATGCTTATAGTCGAATCAATCAGCTCGACTAGACGAATCCAACAAGCCCAAGATTGTCAAATTCTGACATCACTAAAGTATTCAAAAGTCTAATAAATGATCCACAATCAAGAGAATCAACATCGGATGTCTATTCAAATCACTCTCAACTTACCCTAGATTTCCCTCCTATTTGCTGGCCATATCATTTTTATAAAATTGTAAATAGACCCCTCATTTTTCATGGAATGGGAGAGGAAGCAAGGACCCAAGCAAGGAAGAGAAAAGGGAGATGGAGAGGAGGCAGGAAGAGAATCTGAGATCTCTCTTATCATCAAGCTAGCTTCTCCTTGACCACCGCCTGAACTTTCGCCCAGCCACCGACTGACGACAGACTTCCGCATCAACTGTCGTCAGACTTCCATATAGCATCTAATTATTGTTGGACTTCCATAAAATAATGATTTTTATGACCATTGTCGCCCGTCGACTATTGTCCTTCCGACCTCCGTGCCTAGACAACGATCCTTACGACCTCCATTGCACGCCGACTATAGTCCTTTCCGACCTCAGTGGCCTGACAACGGTCTTTCCGACCTCCTTCGCTTATCGACTACGATCCTTTCAACCACCGTCACCTGACTATGTTCTTTATGACCTCCGTCGCTCGCCGAATACGGTCATTCCGACCCCTATCGCCCATCAACTACGAACATTCCGACCACCGTCACCCGACTACAATCTTTTCAACATTCGTCACTCGTTGACTATGATCCTTTCAACCTCTGTTGCCATATAACTGTCTTTATGACCTCCGTCGCTAGTCGACCATGATCCTACCAACCAAACAAACATATCAATTCAGATTCTTCCAATTTCCACCATGTAATACACACTGTATGATGTATATTTGCTATATCAAACCAAGGCCTTTGCCCCAAGGAAGGGCCTAATTTGTAATTGTTTGCAAACACTAATGAATTCATTCAAACTGTGCTAGACCTCGTGGTTTTTCCCCCTTTTCAACAAGGGGTTTTTCACGTAAAAATTTATTATGTCTCTTATGAATGCTATACCCTCTTTTTAATCTGAATGTCTGTTGGATCTTCGTACAAAGCCAAGACATTTAATTTTATATTTCTTTACCACTTCGAATATTCCAAGACTCAACAATACTTCAAATTCTCTCTTGTTTTTTTAGAGGTTGTTTGGTTGCTAGCATTAGGAGTGTAAAATATTTTAAATGCAGGGGTTTTGAAAATATTGATATTTGATTTGAAGTAAAACAAGTGCAATATATTCCTTTGGTGCATTTGAAATACACAATCTAGTTCATTTTTTATGTGGAATCCCACCGATTTGGGTGAGTTCCAAATACGTCGGAAATTCATTCCAATTGCTGCCTAGCTCCCACTACCTGTCGCCCGCCACCAGTCGACACCGTAGCCGCCAACCATCACCGGTGACTGTCACCCACCAATTTCGGCCACCACTGTAGCTGGCCATCTGCTGCTTGCCGCATGCCACACCGCCGCCAATGTCGACTAC